TTATCGTCACATGGCATCGTGGTATTTATCCCGCCGCGTTGCGACACAGTTAAAATTGCCGCTCTATATTTAACGGATCCGCATCAATGTAAAGCGGCGTCATAATCGCGCTGGTTTTGCTACTAATAGTTATATGAATGAGTCGCTCACTCACTCTCTCTCTCTCTCTCTCTCTCTCTCTCTCTCTCTCTCTCTCAACGCGACCGGAAGCGCGCGTTGGTGCTTGAAGAGAAAAAAGAAAGGAGCGACACACGCGTGCAGGTTTATATAAAGCATTGTTGCATCAGCTTACGCAACTTCAGCATGATCGACTCGATTCTTCTTGCTGCTCTTGTTTGCCCGCGTAATCCGCCACGAGCGACTAATTTCAGAGACGTTTTTGCGCACCGCGCCGCCGGCCTGACGGAAATGCGCCGCCCTTCATTCAGACAGATCACCCGCGACCCCGCGATATTTGTAACTCGCGAATCACTCGATGGTCCAAACGCCTCTCTCGCGAGCTCGTGAGCGCTCAGCTAATTCGCCCAAGTCGATCGGAAATAAATCCACAATGGCGCTGTTGAGTCTGCGCAACGTTTCGTAACGATTCCGCGATACGACCGAAATAAACTCTCTGAAAAGCCACGGTTTATATCGCGCGTGGCCAGCCTCTCTCTCTCTCTCTCTCTCTCTCTCTCTCTCTCTCTCTCTCTCTCTCCTCCGCAGGACCCAAAGTCTCGTCTCCCGAACGTTACATCGTGGCCCGTCGGCGACAACTCTCGCGGGAGAGAGCGATCTCGCCGCGAGCGACTGCCGATGCGGAGAGTCACCCGGCGTGTCGCGTCGCAGGATCAATAGATATATCCTACGGCGAGGACTCAATCGAGTTTTGATAGCGCTGTGATGCAGGAAGAAAGCATGTTGCGCCAGCAGTCGCCGGGAGGGCCAGGAGAGGGCCCCGCGAGCGAGTAGGAATCGCCTCGGCGGCTGTAGGAAAAAGACACTCCGGGGAATCAGACGAAGCGCCGTCCACGAAGCGCGAAGAAGGAAGAGGCAGAGTCGCACCGCGCGTCGCCTATCGAGAGTCGACGCTTCGATTAACCGCCGCGCCGCCCATCATCCGCACGTTCGGCACGCCCGGTACACGTCGGCCCCGCTAATGATCCCGGAGTGACAACGACGCGATCGCACGCGCAGGTGTCAGGCCCATACGCGGACGGTCTTCGTCGCGGATGTCCTGTCACTGACCCCCCTATGTATCCCTGACACTCGCACCATCTCGCCAGCTGAGGGCGATACCGACACGGCGCGGCCCTGCGGATTCGGATGTTCCGCCGATCGGGCCGGCATTCGAACGCATCCGGTGAAGGGTGTAACGCGTCCAAGAGGCAGGATGGCGCGCCTCGTGAGCGCCCGCTCGCACCACCTTCCGCGGCTGATGCGGAGTCCTGTTCTCCAGCCGTCTCTCTCTCTCTCTCTCTCTCTCTCTCTCTCTCTCTCTCTCTCTCTCATGCGGCGCAACACACGCGCGGCCGCACATATCCACATACACACGCACACACACACACACACACACACACACACACACACACACACACACACACACACGCTTCTTAAGGGAGAGGGAGGTCAAGCAAGCCGGTCGGCCGACCGACCGACTCTGTACGTACGTCCCGCGGAACCTACGATACATCATTTTCGGCTGGGATGATCTTACGGTAGATTTACCATTTGTACAGTTTATGGGCGTCGGTCTGGGCCATAAACTTGCTTGGCAATGACGGCGACCCGCGCCACCACCGCCGCCGACTAAGTTAGGTAAAGCCCGGACCGAGGCTCGTGACGACGGTAGTTCGCAGGGCAAAACCTCGGGGAGGCGGTGGCGGTGGTGGTGGTACGCCGCGGCAACGCTCCGGGGATCTTGCGGACGCAAATGTCGCGTCCGCGTCTGGTAGCGCGCGGCAAAAGTGCCGCCGACGTATTGGCGCTTCCCGATCTCCCGTCGGGGAGACCGTCCACCGGATGGCTCGAGCAATAAGGATCGAGGGACTGCCGAGAGAGACGAGAAATCAATGACGGGGATGAAGCGCCTCGCGGTGCGCCGTGAGAATCGTGGATTAACTCACGAGGAATTATTGGATTTATGGGGATTGTCGAAAGGAAAATTGAAACTGAATCTTTCGCTCGCTTTTCGGAGACATCTGTGAAGCTCGTAAGGTGGAATATTGATCTTGAGAGAAATGTCGAAATTGAAAATAAAACTCCATTCATCTCTCTCTCTCTCTCTCTCTCTCTCTCTCTCTTGCGACGTTGGTTAATAAGATTTCCAATAGCGTGGCGGGAAAAAAAGATGGAGAACTCGCGTCGGATCGCAACGCGACGTAGCGCGTTAAAATTCGAGCGCAAGACACGTGGTTGTTCACGTTGCCGTTAATTCGAGCTGCTAGCCACGGACGTCTTTGTATTTTGCGCCCGTTTCGCGCAGCATACCGAAGGGAAATCACATAAAATCCGGCCGCTC